GCAAGGCGCGGGGGCAACGCCGAGGGTTGCGATCCCGTTGCCGGTCCCGGTCCCGGTCCGGTACGGGGGCAACACTGAGGGTTGCGATCCGTTGCCGGACACGGAAAAAAGAAAAAAAAGAAAAAAAAAATTTCTTTCAGGGTGGACTGATAAACTTCGAGAAAAGGAGAAGGGTAAGTAGAGGTCTTGGCTATGGTTTTTCATTTTGCTTCCTCTGGAAATAAAAAAATGAAAGAAGTGGGGAGTCCAGTTGTTTTGTACAGGCAGAAAAAATGAATTAGCACTTATTGAACATTTATTACGTACCATTATGCTTGGCATGTTCCTGTACTTTATCCCCCAAGAGCCCTGTGAGGGGGTGTTATCTCCTCAGCCCAAAGGTGAAGAAACTAGATATTTGGACTGAATAGGGTTCAAGTCCTAGTCCTGTCCTGCTACTACAAAGTGCACATTTCTTTTTAATTATACATATTTATTGGGTACAGAATGATATTTTGATGTATGTATACACTGTGTACTGTTCAAATCTGGGAAATTAGCATATACTTTACCACAAACATTTATCATTTCTTTGTGTTGAGAACATTTGAACTTTCTCTTGTGTGTTTGAAACTTTTGTATATTTGAACTTCTGTGTATTTGCAGATACACAATAGATTGTATATACAGTGAACAAAGATACAATAAATATGAATTATTGTTAATTATAGTCACCGAGCACTCTACAACACTAGAACTTAGTCTTCCTGTCTAGCTGTAAGTTTGTACCCATTAACCAGCCTCTCCCTAGCCTCTCTACCCCCTTCCCAGCCTCTACTAACCACAATTCTACTCTACTTCAATGGCAAAGCTCACATTTTTTTCTCTTACCCCCTCTTTATGTCCTTCTTTATAATTAGCTTCAGCAAAAACAGGTTTACCCCTGTAGTTAATAACAATGTATTGTATACTTGAAAATTGCTGAGAGTAGTTTTTCTTTTTCTTTTTTTGTGGCTGACCTGTAAGGGGATCCAGACTCTTGATCTTGGTGTTATCAGCACCACGCTCTCCCAAGTGAGCTACCCGCCAGCCCCTAAGAGAGTAGATTTTAAGTGTTCTCGCCACAAATAAGTATGAGAAGTAATTCATATGCTCATTAGCTTCATTAGCCATTTACAGTGTATACATATTTACATCATGTTGTACACCATGACTATGTACGATTTTTATTTGTCAATTCAAAGAAGAAACTGGTTTACTTTATTAGGGAAAAAGTTTTCCTAAGAGTAAATGAGAGAGAATGGTTAATTAAGATGGTTAACACTTGTCAGTCCATCTGAGAGAGGAAAGGAAATGGTCTTCACTGTTAGGTATAGTTAATTATTCTTTTCCTTTCCTGTCAGCATAGGAAGGGGTCTTCAGCATCGATTTGAATCTTTCTGTGGATAGAATACTTCTGAACTATGCTAAAAAAAAAGATAAAACAGCTTTGAAATTTTGCTATGGTTTTTGTGTTGTAAGGCTATATTTAAATAGATATTTAAAAGATTCAGGGAAAACATGAGTGAGCAAAATAACAGCTTTACTCCATAGCAGTCTCATTGATCTTTAGTCATTCATTCATTCTCTCATTCCATAAAGATTGATCATATACCCAACATGGGCGTTATGGGGATTGAGGCAGAGAAAAGTCAGAGCTCCCTGGCCTCCTGATGTTCACAATGCGTGTGAGAGGTAGACAAATAAATAGGCAATTATAATGCAACCTGATAAGGGCTTGTGAGCAGTAGTAGTAGATATTAGAGAAGCATATAGGAGGGGAATCTATCGCCAACATTTAGGGCCAGAGAAACTTCCAGGAGGAAATGAGATCAGACTTAAAACCAAAAGACTGTAGAGGAGCTAACCAGGCTGAGCTCATTAGTAGCAAGATGCTAACCTGGACAAATGCAAATTTTCTGCCACCAGTAGAGTATACTCCCTTCTTTAGCATGATGATAAATATTCCTTGAGGATACTGAGACCAAGGACTGAGATCACTGGATGGAAAGTTGAGACCCAGAGAACCTGACAATTCTTGAGATAACTTCTGTCATGTCCTGTAATGATAAAAATATTTTTTCAGTTGTTGCCTCCACAGTTACCCATCTTTGTCCTTTAACTTCAGAATAACCCTGGATGGTAATCTCTTTCCTTTAAGGAGTAGGATGTTAAACTTTTGGAAACTTTGAGTATTAAACCCAAAACTAAGCTTATAGCCGTTGCTGGCTTACAAAAAAATCTTTATTGAAACATCTGAAGAAGTATAAATAATTTTGGACATAATTATGTACTTGCTTCTCTTGTGAGCTTTAAAAGAGTTCATTAAATGATTTACTGGTATAGTAAAAACTGAAGGATTCAGGAAATCTAAACATTCAAGTTTATGAGACCCTAGACTGTTTAAATGTCCAACACTACCGAAACTTATTTACTGGGGAGTAGGGGTTGAAGAAAATGGAGATGAAGAACATGGGAGCTTCCTGACTTAAAATATTTATTTTATCTTTTAAGAAATAGAAATAGAAATTCTTCATATTTTTTTGAAATACTTAAAACCTTAAAAAATAACTTCTTTATCTCAAGGATGAAAATGGAAAAGAGGAAAAAGAAGCTACTGTGACTTTTTGGATTCTTTGGTAGCTTATTTTATTCATACAAGGACTTCAGAGATTCAGAGTTAGAATTTTTAAGAGTTATTTAGCTATTTTATTTCTAAGGAAGCAGTATTTCAGAGGCCTCCTAGATGGTTTCCTCCATCTTCTGTCCAAAGTGGAGTATTATCATGTGTATGTTTGGTTAGCATTATTATTCATTCTTTTTTTTTTTTTTTTTTTGGTGTCTGTCTGCTTTAGGAATTTGAAGGGATTGCCCAAATAAAACTCTTACAGTCTGCCTGCAACAGCTATTGCATGACCCCAGACCAAAAGTTCATACAGTGGTTCCAGAGGCAGCAGCTCCTAACAGAGGAGGAGAGGTAGGCTGACCTGTTGTCCATCATGGAGGTGTTGGTGGGAGCATGCTGCATCCAGCAACTCATTGGGTCATTTTTCAACAACATTGTTTTTTTGTTTTTTGTGGCTGGCTGGTTGGGTGCAGCAGGAAAGGATGGCATCAGAAGACATACTCTCAGATTTGTGCTCAGCCACTTTTTTTGTAACCTTGAATGAGTCATTTATTCTTTATCTTCAGGATGGTCATCTGTAAAATGTTTGTGTGGCTTAAATAAAGTCATGTTGTTAGAATACTTATCATTACCATTATTATCATCATCACCACCACCATGTTTTCCACTATTACTAATTGCTGTTAGCTTTCAGGGAGCTTTTAATCTACGGAGAGGGACAGACTCTTGAAAAATTGAACTCTGATGGGCAGCTAAAGTCCTACATAACTACAGGCAGGAACAATTCATTTGACCAAGGAGGGAAGTGGGGGGGAATCGGAAGCTATGAAGGCATTAGCATCTAGGCTGGGTTGTGAAGGAGAGAGAAGATTTCACCAGAAGAACTGGAGAAGAACATTCCAGACAGAGAAAGAACACAAGCAAAGGTCTGACGTGCTTGGCTTTTGGAAGAACAGTGATAACTCTCGTGTGGCTGGGACACGAGGGACGGGTTTTAAAATAGTGGTTGATGGGCATAGAAAGGTACATTAACTCTAGTGCTTTGAATGTTGGCCCACCAGGGGTTCAGTCCTTACCCTGTAGTCTGGGGGTTGGCAGATTAGTCTGCAGGCCATATGTGGTCCACCCCCTGTTTTTACAGTTTTAAATGGCTAGTCTGCAGGCCATATGTGGTCCACCCCCTGTTTTTACATTTTTAAATGGCTGGTAAAAAAGAAAAACACAAAAGAAGAATAATGTTTTGTGACATGGGATAGTTATTTGAAACTCAAATTTTAGTATCCATAAATAGTTTTATTGGAATATACCCCGTTCATTTACATCTTATGTATGATTGCTTTCATGCTTTAAAGACAGTTGAGTAGTTGCAACAGAGACCGTATGACCACAGACCTTAAAATACTTACTGTCTGGTCCTTTACAGAAAAAGTTTGCTGATCTCTGTTATAGACCAGGGAATTTTCTTGAAAATTTACCTTAGGGAAGCTTGAAGTTGAAAGCAAAGTAAGTATTGTACCAGTGAGGAAATTGAGGTTTAGATATGTATTATAACTAGTCAGTGATGGCATTTGGATTGAAACTCAGGTCTGCCTACCTACAACCCGAGCTCAGAAGGTGGTGTTATAATGTTTAGTACCCTTCTCTGCCTACCCGGTAGCCAAACACATCTCCTAGCTAGAGCTACGAGCTTTCATAAAAGGCATTTCAAATCAGGTATAAATCCTCTTCTGCTTGTGGCAGTTATATCTTCCTGTTAGCTGGATGTGTGAATCTGGAGCATTTTTAATTTAGGATGTTTTAGCAATTAAAAATCATATTTAAGTATCTTTATCAATAATATAACTGCCTATGCCTATTCATTAAAGGTGAGATAATTTACAGAAATCTCTTCTTTCATTTCCTTTAGATGAAAGTAAGTCACTGGCTCAGGTGCACAAACACACACGCAAAGTGGTTGGAAGGAGGCAGAAGTCAAGAAATGGGAGGGGGAGGAGGAGGGAGTCTCCCCCAGACTGGAAGTGGGATGAGAGTGCTCAGGAGACAGAGTGCAATCAGCTTGTGGTGCTGCCGGCGTGCATGCATTCTTGTATTTGAGGCATGAAGAACTGTGCCAGTCAGTGGAGGGACAATGGGAGGAGGCAAATAACGTAAATTGGTGAAATCTTTTCATTAAGTCAGTACCCTCTGACATTTACGACAGAACAAAACACTATGTATCTTTACTCTGAATAATCAGAGCCTTTCTCTAAGACAAAACTGATACATCTCGTGAATTTAAACTGTTCTTCTAATTCTCCCACTTGGACCTCATGATCGATCGCTCTTACCCCTCTCTTTCCCAGCTATGCCCTGTCGTGTGAGATCGAAGCAGCTGCAGACGCCAGCACCACCTCGCCCAAGCCTCGGAAGAGCATGGTGAAAAGGCTCAGCTTGTGAGTTTCACCTGGGGCCCCGAGAGGGCCCATCAGAGTAGGGAGAGGAAACGTATCCAACAGGGTCCCCTTGGCCCAGGGAAAAAGTAAAGGACACTCCGGTCATTTGCCGAATAGTTTATCTTTCTGTCCTGAACTCAGAACATTTGCTAGATCCATTCATCCTTCTCCATTCCTGTCTGTGGTAAGAACCTCTGTCACCTTTGCCTGGGCTACTCCAGGAACATCATTACTGTCTTCCGGCTGCTGCTTTACCCCACTGATTCATTCTCTACCGAATAGGCAGGTGGTCTTTTAAAATGTACACCCGATTATGTTGCTTCCTTGCTTTAAAACTCCAATGGTTTAATTTTAAGATAAAATCCACATTCCTTCCCCTAGTTTACTAGGCCTTATGTGATCCACCCGCAACCTCCTCTTCCTTACAACAGCCCTCTCTGTTCATCAAGATCCAGCCACGCTGGTCTTCTGGTCATCCTCAAACACTCCAGGCTGTTCCTGCTTCAGGGCCTTTGCTCTAGCTGTTCCTGGAATGCTCTTTCTTCATGGCTAGCTCTTTTGGATACTGGCAAAATTATTGCCCTGAGAGAGAGTCCTCTCTGATGTTGCTGTCTACCCTGATTGTTTTATTCATTTTGGCTGTTTCCACCATTGGAATGTAAGCAACCTGGAAACAGGCACCTTGTTTGTCAAACTCATGGCTGCATCCTGGCTGAGTGCCAGGCATATAAGAGGCCCTCCCGACCTGACTTCATAGCACCTGTCTCTCTTTGAGTATAATCCAAAGTCCTTGCAGTAGCCCACAAGGCCCTTTGGGATCTGAGGCATCACTTGACCCCACCTGTCCCATGCTTGTCTGTCCTCATATTTCCCTGTTCACTCTGCTGTTTGCACTCCAGCCCCCAGACCTCCCTGAACACACTGGGCACACTCTTTTTGCCTCTTCCTCTTCCCCTTGCACTCCAGCCCCCAGACCTCCCTGAACACACTGGGCACACTCTTTTTGCCTCTTCCTCTGCCTCTTCCCTAAATAAATAGCCACATGGCTCACTCCCTTGCATCCTTCAGATGTTCGCAGAAATGTCACTTTCTCAGTGAGCCTTCCCTGACCACCTCATTTAATACCATAACTGGCATACCTTACCTGCTCTTGGCACCCTCTCTCACTGTCCCCTTCTCCGAGTCTCTCCATCACCTTTACCTCCATCTGATATACTGTATGTTATAGGTATGTTTTTAGATACAATGCAGACTCTATGAAGGTAGGCATTTATGTCTCTTTTTTGTTTGTGTATTGCTTTACCCCCAGAACCTAGAATGGTACCTGGCACACAGTAGATGATTAATTAGTATTTGCCAGGACTGTTCTAAGAACAATACATGTATTTCTCATCCAGTCCATGAAATCACCTAAGAGATAAGTCCTACCTTTATACACATTTTATAGACCAGGAAACTGAGGCACAGACAGTGAATACCAAGCTAGTAATTGAAGTATCTGGATTCAAACCTAAGATTTGGCTCTAGAGCTAAGTTTATAGCCTTTCTACCATATTGCCTCTTCGAAAAATTCTTCCTGAAGGAACAGAGGAAGAAAATATGCAATTGGGGTTAAAAAGTGAAACAGGGGAGGAGGGAAGGAAGGGAGAAAAGGAGGAAGAGAAAAAGGGTGAAGAGAAAGGAAGGAAGGGAGAAAAGGAGGAAGAGAGAAAGGGTGAAGAGAAAGGAAGGAAGGGAGAAAAGGAGGAAGAGAGAAAGGGTGAAGAGAAAGGAAGGAAGGGAGAAAAGGAGGAAGAGAGAAAGGGTGAAGAGAAAGGAAGGAAGGGATAAAGAGTAAGAGAGATGTAGTTTTAATTACACCCTACCCTTTGATTGTAGCAATTTTTGTAGAACCTTAAGAGAACTTAGTCTCTGCCGTGAAGTTAATCTCTTAGAGATTAGATTCTTAAAGACATTAGACTAATGAATCTAATAAAAGCTAAGGAAGTTAGTTCAAGGAAACAGATTATAATTTGATGAATAAACTTGACCTTCTCTTTTGCACACGTACACCTGTCTGATCTTTTGGGTGTCATAATCTGGATTTTCTGGGGATGAGCAAGAACAGCGATTAGGGAATATTGGACAGTTTTTCATGGCAGAGTGGGCTTGGGAGCCAGGCTGACCTGAGAGATCCCAACTCCACCAGTTACTTGTGTGAACTTCTGTTTTATCATTTGAGAGAAGAGAATAATAATGTCTACCTTATGGCCTTTTGTAAAGCTCTTAAAGCAGTGCCTACCTATGAGTGGGAACCTGAAAGGCTATGACTACTTTTTATGAAACAAATAAGTTAATATCTTTCTGAGTTATTTGGGGGAGGGGGGGCGTCAGGAGTATGACTATTTTTGATGTGTATTTGAACCTTCCCAGCACTCTCTCTTCACCTGCCTCAGTGAGTCACATGGAGACACAGGCAGGGATGGCACGTGACCTTCGGTTTTGTCATAGTCCCAATATAACATGTGAAGGCCCTTTTTGGGTGTGGATAGCATGATCTCCCATAGTCAGAGGCTGCTCAGGCTGCTCCCTGATACCAGGAGATATGAGGCACTGCGGATTAGGTAGGAACATGTGATTTTGTAGAACGCATTTGGAAGGTAATCCTGATGTCTTGCCAAGCCTCTCCCTCTTTTCAGATGCCTGTGCTGGCCCTCCTGAACACCAGATTTATGAGTTTTGAGATTCACTTCATGAGGGAATATCCATAGTTTCTGGCTGTCTTTCCAACTCTGGAAATATGGGGGGGAATAGGCTCTTTCGAGATAACCCAAGGGGCCTGGTGGAGCCTTGTTTTCTGGTGAGATTGACATGTGCACGGGGAATCAGGCTCCCTAACAGATGAGTCCAGCAGTGCGGGGCCTCCTAGTGGTCCACTCTGCTAAGTGAGGCAACAGAAAGAGTTGGGAATTTCCGGGATTGCTATAGCAGTCTGAGATCCTTAAGAAAAACACAGTCTTGGGCCGGCCCGGTGGCGCACTGGATAGTGCGCCGCTTGGGAAGCACGGTGGCGCTCCCGCCCGCGGGTTCAGATCCCACATACAGACCGGTTCCCGCTCACTGGCTGAGCGAGGCGCGGGAGCAATGCCAAGGGTTGCGATCCCGTTGCCGGTCCCCGGTCTGGTACGGGGGCAACACTGAGGGTTGCGATCCGTTGCCGGACACGGAAAAAGACAAAAGACAAAAAAAAAAAAAAAAGAAAAAAGAAAAACACAGTCTCAGTGCAGGCAGACCTAATCCTGGGTGCCACTACCTTTGTCTTCTTGCTCCCCACAGCGCTGTCATCATTTCTGTACTACAGCTCCTCTGCTACCCCTCTCCAACCCAGAGGTCTGTATTTATTGTGTTGGGTGCTCCGACACCTCCGGGTTCTGATTCTTCAGACACAGGCAGGTGTACAGCCTATATGAAGACATGCACTCTGAAACCCGGGGAAGGCAGGAATGTGAAGGTACAGCACCCTGCACAAAGTATGGTGGGCACTCAACACACCTCTTACTAGCAAAATCTTGCTGAGATGCTTGAGCTTTACCCTTGGTATCTGCAGTTGAGTTTGAACATTCATTACGAAAACAGGTCGTACATCTGCCATCCTATTTCTTGTACATATAAGGGTGTTTGCATTCCACTATTTTCCAAAAGATTTTATGATCTTCTTTGCATTTTTACAAATCTGGAAAATGTATTTTTGCTCTGTCTCCATTTAATGATCCATTACCCAAAGAGACTGGAGAAAACTTTGGAGCCTTAGGGGAAGGAGTGTCTAGTTTGAACATTAGAGATGCCCACTATTGAGCCAGAATGAACCTTTACAAGACAGAATGACCTTACTTAATTGTAGAGATGGAAGAACCTTTAGTCTTTGAAAAATTAAGTTCTAGGCTAGAGATGCTGAGATAATGGGTGGAGGACTACTACTTCACCTCTTCAAAGATCTACCATGTAGTGGGGCCATAAGACAGTGGCATTTTTTTTCTTTTTTTTCTGTGAATCGTGGTCAGTTTAGCACTTACGCCTGTACCCTCTGTAGTGCTTAGAGGTCCCTGAAAGGGAGGACATGAAAAATGGGGCTAGAGGTGGTGGGTGGAGATGAGGCGCAGAACAAAGATATATGCCTGAGGTCTCCAAGTTTTATAATTCCTAAAATATTTAATAAAAAATCAGGCATGTCCTCATTGTTTCTATTATCGTTGCTATTTATGTACTTATTTATTTTTGGCATCTGCCTGGTACGGGGGATCTGAACCCTTGACCTTGGTGTTATCAACACTGCACTCTAACCAACTGAGCCAAGCAGCCTGCCCTGTTATTGTTATTTTGTACCATCAGAGCTTGTTTGGGTTTAAAATGCCCCATTTGCTAGTTCTTTGTGCGCCATCCTTTCTTGCATCTCCCTCCCTCCCTCTTGTTCCTGCTGCCTTTAGTGTCATCTGTTAGTGGTAAACCCTCTCATCTTGTCTGAGAAAGTATTTTTCCTTTACTCTTGGAAATATGTTAGATGGGTACAGAATTCAAGATGAGCGTTATTTTCAGTCAGCACTTTGAAGATGTTTGGTGTCTTCTCATGTTTGATGTTGCTTTTGGGATGTCTGATATCTGCTCAATTTCTGTTCCTCTGTGCTGCATTTCCACCCGTTATTGCTTTTAAGAATGTCTTTTGTCTTTGATATACACCATTCTGCAGTTTAAGTGGGTGTTCAGTCTTATTCATCCTGTTCAGGATGTGGTTCTGGGATCAGAGGATTCATGTGGTTTATCAGTTCTAGATTCCTCTCAGCCACCGTCTCTTAAGATATGGTCCCTCTTCCAGTCTCTCACCTGTCTTCTTCCAGAACTCCCCTCACACATGTGCAGGGCTTTCTTATTCCCTTCTCCGTGTGTCTTTTAACTTCTCCTATTTTCTATGTCTTTATCTTCTGATGCTAATTTCTTACTATTATCTTCAGATCTATCATCTAGTTCATGATTTTTTTCTTCAACAGTTACTTAATATTTCCACTGAGTTTTTAATTTGAATCGCTACATTTTTCACTTAAAAGTGAAATTTTTTTTCAAATTAGCTTCTTGTTCTTTTGTTAGATTGTCTTGCTTTTTCTTCTTGTGTCATCTTCTCTCGTGTCTTCAATATTTTTAAAAATACTTATAGCTTGAACTACAGGTATTTGTTGAATGAATGAATCAATAATTAGTTTCTTTCTGATAGTTGTTATATCTGAAGTTCTCAGGAGTCTGAAGCTGCTGTTCGTTATGCCTGTTGACTCCCTTTGAGTGGGAATATTTCCTTGTGTGTAGTTTGTAATTTTGTATTGTGAGCTCATCTTTGTCAGGGAATTCTCTGCAGGCTGGCCTCAAAATATATCCCTCCAGAAAGTTTTTTTGGTTTTTTGTTTGTTTTTAATATCTAGTTCTCCCAGGGGTCTCACTGTTCTGAGAGTTCCGAACTCCTAGACCATTTCAGTAGCAATTAACAGTGAAGTGCAGGCCAAATTTACACATGATTTCTAGGGAGACATTCTTCTTTTATCCACACTGAGGCCAAGAGAGATAGGCTTCCCTGTTGTCTTCCTGTGCCAGTAGGAGGATATTTTCCTAGCCCACCTTTTTACTAAGGGTACGGCCCTTTGAGGGTTCTGGCTCTATAAGGTGTTTTGGTTCTAACTCCCACCTTTCATAAATAGAGGCCTTCATCATTGTGCTCTGTGTACGTCTTAAAGCCCATGTCATTATTTTGCTCAGATAAGCATCTCCTATTCCCCAACCAGAGCAGCTGCAGAATCAGCTCACATGCTTCTGGTTTTCAGTTCTCTTTTCATTTCTGACCCATAGAGATTTCCCTTACCATCTTGCAAGTTCAACAAAAATGAGCTTTTAATATTTCTTACTAAGTTGTTTAATGGAGGAGGGGTTTAGATTATTGTAGTTCATCAGATTGTTGGGAACAGATGTCTTCCTCCTCGGTTTCTTACCCAAAGGAGTGCCAGCCCTTTTCAGCCTTGTGGAGTTCATTTTATGGTGGGAAGTGATGGGGGTGTGGTGAAGGCATTTGATCTTGCCAGAGTGTTCCATAGACTCTCAAAAGATGGAGGACCATTGACCTAGAAAGACCTCGGATTAGTACGGCCCCTCAGTCAGTTAAACAATCTGTGCATTCCTTGAGGTTAGAAATAACCTATTGGGATAAGATGTTTACTACTATTTGTTAGAAACTTTATAGCAATCATTTTCTTAAAACAATAATGAGAGGGCACACAAGATTGAGAAAACATCAAGGGCTGCATCAACACAAAATATGAGTAGTGGCTTAACCATGGATTAAGATTTATAACGGCCCAATTCTTGGCATTCTGTTTTCTGCAGATTGTTTCTGGGGTCAGACATTATCACCAGTAGCACTCCCACTAAAGAGCAGCCCAAGTCTACTGCCAATGGGAGCCCTAGTGAAAGCATGGACTCCGTCAGCGTGTTGTCCTGCGAGTCGAACCATTCAGAGGCTGGCGAGGGCTCCATTACTCCCATGGACACACCTGATGAGCCTCAAAAAAAGGTATATACCTGACCCTTTTCATAATTCCTGATACAAGCACCTGACATGGTATTTGCCACACAAGGAATGTTTGTTTTCAAGATTGTCACTTTACTTTATTTTGAAGGTCAGGTATTTAAGAGGTGTCAACAGCAGAGTTCAATCTGAGGACCCATTTCTTATAGAAACAGGCATAAAAGCGGTAAGCAGATTGGCTTACTTATTTGTCCTTTGAAGTATTGTTCTATACCTACATCTAAAGGCACTGAAGGATTGTGACCTGTAACAGGAGCTATACTTTATTTAGGAAAAGTAGGATTGCTTAGAAAGAGCAGTAAGTCAGAAACAGAGATACATCAGCTTCTTGGTGCTACACGTTGTGTAAAGCAAACTTTTATCACAATAATATCGTATAGCAAACCACTACAAAACTCAGTGACTTAAAGTAGCCACCATTTATCTTCTCTCATGCATCTGCAGGTTAGCTGATTTGGGTTGGGCTTGGCCCTTGGCCACAGGTTTGGTCCAGGTCTGCCACACCTACCTGTCATTCTTTTTGGAGTAATGGGCTACCCAGGGCATGGTATTAGCACGCTAAGACAGCTGAGTAAGAGGGCAAGCCCACCCTGCAAGTGCATATCAAGCCTTTATTGGGTCATGTCTATCAGTACTCTGTTGGCTAAAGCAATCACATGACCAGATCCCCCATAGGGAAATACACGCCATTTTTAGTGGAAGGAACTGTGAAATCACAGAGCAAAAGGCACGGGTGCAGGGGAGGGTGAGGAATTTCTAACAATGATACAATCTACCATGTCTGAAAAAAGGAAAGTGATGAGGGGTGATAAAAGAATTCTCATGGAGAGTTTCCGTTTTCCATGGCTGCATAAATAAATGAAAGGAAAGCAAAATATCAGTCTAAATCTGCTGGTCGAAGATTTTGGATCAGAGACATCAACTTTGACAAGACTAAAATTTGCACCATTTGGGGGAGGTTTTTGGCCAGCCAGACTTGCTCTGTAGCGACTTCTGGCCCCTTAGTTTATGCTTAGACAAATGAGGAAGAGTGTTGGTAACAGTTCCATCATTTGTTTGTTTCTGTTGCTCTGCAAGGGACCTGTGTGTTGCTTCATATGGTCTTATAAGCAACAAGGACAATCTAGGAACCCTCAAGTGACTTTGTCACAAAGTAGCCAATCCAGGAAGGGCACCATATTCAGGACTCCTCAGACTGAGAGGACTCACATACTGCCCCAGTTGGATTTCTTACCTTTTTGTTTTGAAACCAGGGGATAGAATTTTTCATGCTCCAAACATTGAAGGAAAAGCTCTGCAAATGCCTGTGGACTGGTCATTTTCTCAAAAGGCATGTTTCCAAAACTGGGAATGTGATCATTCTCCACAGCTTGACATATAGCATTGGGTTTGTCAAAATGCAGAGTGAAGTCTCATCATTCCTCACTGACGGGTTCTTATGCTTTGTAGGCCCCATTTCTGATGATGGGTATTGAACGAAAGTGACAGCTGAGGTATTGCGCACATCTCAGTGGGATGTCTGCCTGTCCGGGAAGGTGATGGAATCATGGTCACACCTGATAGGGCAGTGGAAATGGGCATATGTCAGGATCATCCCTTTTCAAACTGTGCAGAAGCCTGGCATGCTGTCATCTGCATGCCCCTCGCTTCATCTTTTCTGTGCCATCTCTTACCACACTGGCTCTTTAATTTCTTTCACAAGTCATGGCTTTTTACTCCGTGGATGTACTGTGGATAAACCTTTCTCAGAGTCATACATTTCTATAAATTTAAAAATGAGTGCATTTTTGACTCGGATACAAGTAGTTCCTGGGCTGTAGAGTCTCTGCATGTTAACTGGAAAGGCCCTTAGTTGTGCTCAGTTCACAGCTGGACCGACCTCATGGCCTCCACAGTCCCCTCCTGCTCTGAGATCCTGTAATGACCACTGTCTCCAGCAGCCCCCCCAGACTGTCAGTGTGTGCTTACACCAGGAACAAGATATGTGTATACTGTGGGCCATTGTGAAGGATATAACTGAAGTTGCTCAGCCTGGATATCCACCTCTGCTTTGAAAATTGCAAAGCACCCTGTTGGCTAAGGTTTTAATAATTCCTTTTTCTTCTGGGGTATGTTTCCTCTTCCAGCTCTCTGAGTCCTCCTCATCATGTTCTTCTATCCATTCCATGGACACAAATTCCTCAGGGATTTCGTCCTTAGTCAACCCCCTCTCCTCCCCTCCATCCTGCAACAACAACCCTAAAATCCACAAGCGCTCTGTCTCTGTGACGTCCATTACCTCGACAGTGCTGCCTCCTGTTTACAACCAGCAGAATGAGGACACCTGCATCATCCGCATCAGCGTGGAGGACAATAACGGCAACATGTACAAGAGCATCATGGTGAGGAGCTCGTCCTGACCGGGGGGGCTTTCCATGCAGGCTGTCGACCTGTGCCTGTCAGCCACGCAGACTGACACCCCTAGATGTGTACAGTATTAGCATATATGTCTGTGCATTCGCACAAAATGAATACGTATAAATACCAAAATCTTCCTGTGCCGAAGTCCAGCTTCAGCGAGGGGTGGGTACCCGAAAAGGGATGGAGAGGGTCGGCGAAAATAACAAACACAGACGGAGACCTCAGTGCATCAATATGCATGTTCTCTCTCTGCGGGCTGTCAGAGTGTTGCAGCTGGAGTCCAGTAGAGCATGAGATAATTCCTTTTATTTAGATTTTTCTCTGCAGGGGGGTTTTGGGTACTATTTTTATTGTATCGGCAAGCTTAAATCAATAGTCCAAAAAGCAGGGAGGAAACTTTTTAGAGGTCAGCCAGTCCTTTCCTTTTGTCAGCATGTCTCAGGTGATCAGGTTATCAGATCGGAACCATTCCTTCATTGTCTTGAAGTTATCTTCTGACCTTTTTCTGTTAGCAAGCTGTGGTTAATATCCACCCTATTAACAGGGTGGCAGCTATTTTGATCTATTCTTAAATGTAAATACAACTTTGCTGAAAGGAAAAAATGTTAACATTTAAATTCTAATGGGGGTCTAATGATTTTATGTTCTAATGGAATGAACCTAATGTTCATATGGAAAAAGAACAGTGCACATTTTAAGTTTATGCATTGGCTGTGGCCCTGTAATCTTGATCTAAATGTCAAAGTGTCATTGTACACAGCACCATCCGTCACAAAACCAGGTGTACTCTCTTATTCTTCTAAGATCTAATTTTGCAGGTTTAATAATTTTACAGAATATATTTTTATCCCAATACCTGATTTTTAATGATTTATTTAAAACCAGACACCAGCAAGTAAAGGGAATTCTATGGTTTCATTCCCATATACTTAATTTATCCCAATCATATAATTTCCCGTTAATACCAACCATTCTCTTGCCATTAATATAATCTCCAGTAAATGATGTTTGCCAACTTAACATTAGGCTGCAGCTCATATTTAGTCATGAGCGGTGCTTTTGGAATATATGTTGGTGTGGTCAACTTATCATAAGGGGGTAATTTTAAATTGTCCAATTTACTCGGATCCTCTGTGGGAATGTTTACTTCAATGACCGCAAAATCATTTGTATTATTTTTATAATCTTTTGAGAATTCAGAGAACTGCCACGCTAACCAAAATATTGAAAGAGAAAGCAAAAGTAGTACCACGAAGCAGAGGCAGGAGCCCTTACGGTTGTAGCAAGTGCTCGTAGCTGCGGCCTTGCCAACAGCTCTCTCTCCGGTGGTCCTGCCAACCTGGAGAGGGCAGCCCAAGCTGACTCCTTTAGGATCCTGCCATGGCGTGGACCACGCCTTCCCTGGGTATAGATTAATGATGTATTTATATAAAAATATATATACCAACAGTGCATATAAGATATCATTTTTACATCTTAAAAATTGCTATAACATATTTATCCAGGTCAGTGTCATCCTTTTCGAAATTACCAGTGTGGGTGATTGTATAAATGTAGCCCAGGGAAGATGCCCCTGCTCTGTGTCTTCTTGGGAGTCTTTCTGTGGAACTGTATGTCTGGGTTTTTAATTGAATTTCCATGGATGCTAGCAGTGTGCTTGCTGATGGCACATTTGTGTCGTTTAGTCACTTGGATCAGACCTAGGTTACGAAGTGGATGATCAAGCTGGAGATACGTGTACAGTTTGGGTCAATAAGGAGTTATGCTTATAAATAAACGAGGCTGTCCTTTTCAAGCTTCTTGTAAAAACTGCGTGTTTCTAAGGACAATCCCAAAGATGTTTTTAATAATAGCAGTCTTTTTGGAATGTATGCAGAGCCTTTCACGAGAACCTTGAGTGTGTCAGGGCTGGAATGTTTATTATAAAAATAAACTCTGTAGTTTAGGCATACCATATATTTAAAATCAGATTCTCCTTTACAGCAACATCCCACAGCTCATTGCCCATCTCTCCTTGTCTTCATGACGCCTCTTTGAGGGCACATCGGGTGCTCACAAGCTCAGGTCTGAATATGACTTAGTGGTGTGGAGGCACCGTCTTTCAACATTCCGAAGAAAAGCTTGCTAAAGCAGTCATTGAATCAACAAAATATTTATTAAACATATTTTGTATACTCGTAATTGGACCAGGCTTTGGGGATAAGGAGATGAATGAGACATTTCTGTGTCTGAGGAACTTATGATCAAAAAGGGAGGTCATCAAGCATTATTCAAAATGTGCTAAATGCTCTGATAGAGGCTGGACCAGATCGTTAAAGGCCTTATGGCCCACACAAAGGACTATGTGTTAATACTGCAGCAATAGGCTCTTACTGAAGGCTTTTAAGTAGTGACGGGATTTGTTTGCTGGAAAAGTGACTGGCATTGTGGAGACTTGTTGCTGAAGTGCAGGGGCTGGATTGGAGGAGGGGAAGCAAGTTTGGAAACTGCTGTCATATTCCGTGCAGGAGATGGGAAGGGCCTGCGTGGTGGTCGTGTGGCTGGAGGCCATTAGTATTTGTGACAGCTTTTTATGAGGTAGAATTGTAGAACCCATTTGTTTAGTTATCAACCTCTTGGTTACTGTTACAGGAGATGAGGAATAGGGACGACTAGTCCAGGCAGCTTGGTGGTTGGTGGGTCTGTCAAGTGACATAGGAACTACTAGAGGGGGAGGTTTGGGGCACTTAATTTGGAGGTGCCAGTAGGACATCCAGATGGTATTATCTAATAAAGGATCAGAAACATGGGTTGGTGCGAGGCTGGTGCTGGGGTCAGATACTGGGAGCCATCCAGGCTTGTAGGGTAGACGTGGTCATGCAGGACTGTAGGATGAGGCAGAACTCAGGTGGCAGTGAGGGACGGACTAATCGAGGAGCAGTAGAGAGGTAGGAGAACCACAGGGAAGCCAAGGTCATCAGTGTTAATATTGTGTTTCCAGCATGGTCTATTCACATGACTTCTCCTACATATGCTGATCAGAGAGAAGTTCTTTCTATAGAACTCTTAGGTGTCTCTGAATGACAGCATGGATTTGTACACCAAACGGATATGCTTTGGGACATGCCTGGCCAGCGTGTGCTCCGCTCTGTCTGGGGAGAACTGTGAGTGGCTGAGGTATTTCACAAACCCCTACTTCCCTGAAGGGGTCTCAGAGGGTGTGTGTTTTCTGAGTGCTGGGAGGGAGATTAACAGATGATCGCCCTAGATTCCTCCTTCCTCAGTACATGGGCAGCCATTGTGTGAATCATGACTTCTGCCACCTCCTTCCTGTGGCCCTTTATATTGCACAAGGTGGTGCTACTCACCTTTCATAAAAATCCTCCTGGCCCCTCTCCCAGGCTTATGGTGGAGAGATGACACTCTGGTCTAGTGTCTCATTCTCTTGTTAGGTCTTCTAATGAGAAACTTTCCTCCACAGTAATTCCCCCTGTGAAATTTATTGTACTCTGTGCTCTTGATCAGAGGAGGGAAATCATTCAATCCAGGTTTGGCCTAAAGTAGCAGTTCTCAAATTTTTGGTCTCAGGACCCCTTCACACTCCAAAAGAGTGTTGAGTATTCCAAAGACCTTTAGGCTGTGTAGGTTGTGACTATTGATATTTATCACATTAGATATTAAAACTGAGAAATTTTCAAAATATTTATTCATTCATTTAAAATAATAATGAACACATTGCATGTTAATGTAAATTATATTTTTTAATGAAAAATATCTATTTTTTTCCCAAAAATTACTGAATGAGAAGAGTAGCATTGTTTTATGTTTTTGCAAATATTCTGGAATGTTTATTTATTATTATTATTTTTTTTCCTTTTTGTCTTTTTTACTGACTGGTAACGGGATCGCAATCCTCGGTGTTGCGCCTGTACTGGGGACCGGCAATGGAATCGCAACCCTCAGTGTTGAGCCCGCACCACGCTCAGCCAGTGAGCGGGAACCAGTCTCTACATGGGATCCAAACCCTCGGCGGGAGCGCCACCGTGCTCCCAAGTGGCGCACTCTCCAGTGCACCACCGGGCCGGCCCTGGAATGTTTGTTTGGATATGTTGTTTTGGTTCAAGTATATAATGAGCTACACAGACGTGGAGTTTGAAAAGGGAGGAGTATTTTAAT